TGATTTATAAGATATTGCCACACTAATAAATTTGAATTTTAATAATGTTGGTTAGTGAGATTTTTAGGTAAATTTTGATAGGAAATGTGTAGTTTTATTATTATTTGAGTGAGTTATGATACAATCAACATAACTTAGAGCATTAAGGTGACCTTGTCAAACTTAACATCTGTGTGCTCAAATCAACATCCAAGCACCAAAACCAAAAGGTAAAGAATGAATAAATAAGTGCATAATCACTGAATTTAAGTGCCCTGGTGCTAAACCCATTCGAAGAAACTATGGAGGTAAGTGCCTGTGTGCCTAATCCAAGCATTTGGGCATTATAGTTCAACCCAAACATGAGAGCCCATATGTCCAGTCCAGTTTCCTACATACTAAAATAAAGTAAAACATGCCCAAAAATAGAGAGCTTAATGCGGAGGAATCGGACCCTTCTGTCAAGATATCAATAAGGTGTTGACTTTGATTTTGGTTATATTTTAACAATGATTATTACCAATTATGGAGAAATTTAAGTAGTAACATTTAAGGATCTTTAATGAATAAATTATTGAACATTTGAGTTTTTAGAATTTTTAGGGCTCTTCAAAACTTAGGGTGAAAGAGCCGTTATAATAAGATTCATTACAGTTAGGGTTCAATGATGATGAAAAAGATCACAGAAATAAAGTGAGAGCCTCTTGCTAAGTTTTCTTATTCTCTCTTCTTATTTTATTAGATTCATGTTAATTTTTATTATTTTTTATCATTCCAAGTATGAATTAATCTATTTTTCCAAGGATTGGATTTAACTATAGTGATTGTAGTTGATTAGTTTTTCTCCTCGAAATGTACCCAACCAAAATTCTATAATATGCAACACATTAATATTCCCAGATGGAAAAATATAAGTACAATAAAATCTTAAGTGCAATTTAAGAATTAAAAAAATAAGAGATTTATGCAAACCCATGATATTTTTGTGGCTTAGCAAATCAAATAAGTACAATAAAATCTTAAGTGCAATTTAAGAATAAAAAAAACCCATGATATTTTTGTGGCTTAGCAAATCAAAAGGCTTTATATATTCATTCCAATCCAACAAATGAACTAACATTTCCACAACCTTCACACTACAATAACACCCCAAAACTCTTCCCTCTTGGGAAGGCAAATAAAGCCTCACAATTTCCTCATTCCAAGCTCAAGTGCGATTCCTTCTTATATCCGGAAGAGCACCTAACATTGTCCTCATAAAGATCCCAAAGATCTATTTACAACCCAATACAATATTTATTTTATGTTAAAACACAAGAAAATAAAATCTAAAGTTACTTAAGAATATGCCAAGCATTAATAGAGATGTTATCAACAAAGTTTGCTTTAAAGAATCTTACAAAGGAGTAGAACTTTTACGTCCAAAGTTGATTTTATTTAAACTAATTGATAAACCTCTACGACTCACGCATTTGCTTAAGAACATGTCATAACATCTATCATATATAGCCACTAAAATATATTCAAAATGTTCAAACGTAATTTCCAAGGTGCCCTTAATATGGTCCAAAAAACTGTGCAAAATTCTCCAAATGGCTTTGAAAATCAATTGTTGCTTATAAAAATGGGAATTAATAGAGGACCATTATCTCTTCATAATACCCACTCAACTTAGCATAAACATGCAAAATGGAAGTGTGATGACAATTTCCCAAAAATTTTATGTTATAATTTAAAACAATTAATTAGTGTATGGTAAAGGTTATCCACTCAAATTTGCCAACATAAGAAATTCATATATTCAAAATAAATAAGAAATTAAAATTTTTCTTATTTTCTTAGTTAGAAATTAGTTACTTGATTAACATAGAATTTTATAATAAGTAAATTTATCAAATAAATGTGACAAATATTAAGTGATCAATATGATGGACATGAAATATATTTGTCATACTCGTAAGTTAGTTAAAATATCATTTAAATCATTTTAAGATATCCATAATAGAAATTTAATGAATGCATAGAAAATCAATTTCAATGTGTTTCTAAACATATAAAATAACTTACTATATCTAAAACTAAAAGTTCAAATAATTTAGCTATTTTCCTTAATGATTTCATCGTTCTCGAGGCTCGATAATGACTTGATCTTAAAAAATAAAAACTACTAAGATACATGCATTACAATTTATAGCCTTAGAATCTTCAATAGTTCAAATTATCCATCTGAATTTTTCATAAATTGAGATCATTATGCATGGAAAGGTGGATTTCACTTCTAAGAAATGACAGTAGTGAGACTTTTGAAATGATATTAAAGATTTGAGTGCAATGTGTGCATGTATGAAAGTTTAGGTGTGACATGCAAATACATCAGAAATGTACGCTATGAAAATGCCGAATAAAGTTTTGCTGGCTTTCTTACATCTTTTTAGTAAAAGTTAGTGTAGCATAAATAGTTGAAAGTTATTCACTGCCTCTAAACACCAATCTTTTAGTTACGCGTGCAATAAGCTTACAATCAGAGTATCCTAAATATATCTGCATGTGCAATAAACATATTCCATTTACCTTCATATTGTTTTAAGTGCTGTCATTCGCGAATGCATCTTCAAAAGCGGTACACTTTTGTAAGCACTCAGTTTATCTGAAATCTTTGAGCACAACTGCAAACAAGAGCAATATAGTTCAACATACAAATCAAGCATTAATTAATGTGAACCCAAAGCTCACAATCATTGTTAAGGATCTTGCCTGCCTGTACAGAGAAGAATCCCCAGATGCTTTTCGAAGCTCCACGACATATAGAGATGGGCTGAGCTCAAATACCTAAAATAATAGCAAGAAATTAAGAGAAAATTAATATATATATATATGGATAAAGTAGCCTCACCTCAGCAGCTACCGAAAGAGAACCAGCACTCCTAGGGCATGAGCAACCTCTGGTTGGCTGTATGACTTTCAACTGCCGGTATAAAGGGATTCAACATAAGCTAATCATATCTACCACTAAGATGATTAACTAGTTTGACCAGGACTCTCTCAAAAATTTGGTCCGATCAAAACTGCTATGCTGAAATTTAATTATTACTGTATGAATAAATAGAACCACCAGCTGTTAAAGAGTTTTCATAATGCTTGATGAATCAATGTTCTTAAATGTGAAATATTACCAGTGCAATCCACTTAGCTTAGTGGTTGGGTACTTTGTCTCCAACCATAAGGTCTTGAATTCAAGGCATAATACATATGGGTGTGTGTGAATTAAAAAAAAAACGAAAATTGCAAAATATTAACCTTTCCATTTCCTCTTTGGACTTGAAACCCCATTTCCGTAACTAAATCTTCGATCTTCTTGTAGACATCTTTTGGCGGGTAGTTTGATGTGAATCTGATTTTTCTTTCGGAGACATCCTATGTTCCCAATGAAACATTTGGATGTAGTCATTTGACATTTGAATGGCATCAGTAGAAAATTGAACAGAAGGATATGCAGATCATTTAAACCTCACCTCTTTTTCAAAAAAGCCTGAAAGATCGAAATATGAAGACATTCCAATAAGTTGGAATGCATTGATTAGTGTCGATTTGTTTCTATGCTCATCTGCATCAACTGGCTGAATCAGAAACCAAGTAAAACAAAAAGAATGCATTAGGTTGTAAATCATGCTTTGATGAGTGGTGGAATCAAGCAAAAGCAAAAAATTTACCTCTTTTACTGATAGAGATACATCATCTATGTACATGTCGTCATCATCATATGGAATAGCTGGAGCATAATTTTGCTTAAACCAACTGTCTTCCTTGATTTCGACTACATTTATCCGAGTTCTAGGATTTGGGTCCAGAATCCTCCGCAGCAAGTTCTGAGCACCAGGGGAAAGCCAATTGGGAATCTGAGTAGCTCCCTTGAAAATCTAAGGCATCAAACATAGCTTTAAAATAACTAAAGCATACAGAAGCAAAATGAAAACTGTTCATTTCGCATATAAAAGTGATAAACAGCTCATATTAAAATATTCAGAAGGATTCACCAAACCTTTTGGTAAAGAAAGGCAAGATTCTGATCATCAAATGGAAGAGTTCCAGTAAGGATAACATAAAGGATTACACCACAGGACCAGATATCTGACATAGCACCATCATAACCTTTGTTTAAAAGGACCTGATGAAATTGTAAAAAATTATAATCATTTAATTTAGGGAAATTTACAAACATACCACACAATTCTTTTGTTTTTACATTCTAACACCCAAAGTTTGATATTTACATTTATAACAGCTTGGTGTCATAAACCTATATATGAAAAGGTGCATTTAACTTTTAAGTCGGTGATGATAGTTTTTGATGTGATGTTACTGATTTGAGTGGTATGCATGTAAATATAAATGCTTAGGTTTTTGATAAGTAAATAGAAGAGCATTGTATGGTATGTATATAAATGTCCCTTCATTTTATTCCATGGACATAAATCAAGCTTGGTCTTGTCCTCTCAATTTTATTCCATGGACATAAATCAAGCTTGGTCTTGTCCTCTCAAATTTGAACGCTCACCTCAGGAGCTACGTAGTGAGGACTTCCACAAGTTGTGTGCAATAGCCCATCATTCTAACGAAGAAAATAAGAGGGATGAATTATAGCTGAATGATTTAGTACAATCGAGGTCGATTGTATCAATAAGCATGTCATAGACCACATACCCAAAGTTGTTGGGATAAAGCACTAAGTCCAAAGTCAGATATCTTTATTTTACCCATTGCATCAACTAGAACATTTTCAGGCTGCAGCGAGAATGATAAAATAAATATATGAACAGATAAGAAAAAAAAAAAGTGAACTCATAATAAAAATATCTATCAGGCCAAAATCAATGAAAATGATCCTCATAAACTGTGACATGAGGGATTTAACTTCCATTTGCCCAGAGTGGTTTTACAAATAGAAGAGAATGAGAAGGAAGTGGCAAATGATAATATTGCTAACGCATATGAGAGTATTAGGTTAGTCACATCTCTGACGCTTAAAAAAATATATTATTGACATGATAGCAGTTAGCTCTCATCCATAACCTTAAGCTTTAAATTGAAAACGAGTTCAATTGCTCGTCTCCCAACCCAGCATTGGTCTTATTAATCCATAATCTCTAACAGGTGGTATCATAACCGATGGTTGATTTTGATGAGTGGTTCATATATATTTGCCATGGGACTTTGGTGCTATATAGTAATGCTTGATCATGTTCTAAGAAAATAAACTTAAGAAACTTTGGTTTATAGGATAGTACTGGTAGAGGTGAAGTGTCTCATATTAAGGATTTATTAAGACCCGTGAGAGTTTCAGGATATGTCCTACATTGAATAGTTAAAAATAAGTAAAGTTCAGAAATACTAGGAATTGGTTCAAACCTATCAGCTCAAGACTTTTTTTTTTTTTTTTTGTTTGGATTTAACAAATAGTATATCTCGCCCAACTTTTATCACTCCCTTCAAAATATACTTCAAAACAAGTAGCCACTCTCCAGCAATAATAGTCTTTTCTGAGTTTACCCTTGCTCCTATCTATTTTTCTGCTACTTATAGGAACACAAGAAGTTGGAGCTTAAGGCTAAATTTGGTTTTGATTTTGCTCTGACTAACACTAAAAAATTTCCACACACAAAAAAAAAAACTTGTAAATTTAATTTTTAGTTTACCATGGGAATACCCTTACATGTAATAAATCCTTTAATATAGTCTGTCCGTGATGAGAAGCCATACAAACCAAGATAATAACATCTAATTGGAGGTTAAAATCGCAGTATTTAAACCATTTAAAAAAGTTCCAGAGGAAAATACATATTCTGCTCAAGATAAAATATTCCAAGCTATTTATGGTCTTTTGCCTCAAATTCTATTCATTCATAAATTTCTCAGACTGCGTTATTTGAGAGCACAAATGGATGAAAACAAATTGTTTCTATAATAAGATAATGCTTCTGCAATGATGTTCTACCTTCAAGTCCCTATGATAAACTCCTTTATCATGACAATAGCTTATGCCATCAATCAACTGCTGAAAAATCTTTAGCCCAAACTGCTCTGAAAGCCTTCCCATTGACTCCTTCAAAACATCCCAATAAAAGAACACATTTTTTTTTGGGGTAATAAAAGAACACATTTCAATACTAGAATTTGCTTTGCCTGGTTATTAAGAGTATAACTCACAAGTTAAAATGCAGGTAATAAATCATGAATATGGCAAAAAAAAAATGAAATATTTTTTTTATAGAAGAATGAGTATTGATGCTTACTATTTTATCAAATAATTCGCCGCCATTCACATATTCAAGAATCATATAGATTTTAGCTTTGCTTGCAGAAACCTGCCATTTTTTTTTTTGAACCAAACAATCAATGATCGGTAGTAGCAATTGTATCGCAGCAGGTATTCTAATCAGAGTAACATGCATTAGAAAGTGATGGATATGAAATTCGTCGTCTCAATGCTAAAACATGAATCTAATCACTATTCTAACACAAAAGAGAAGTATTAAAATTAGTATTTGGACCAGCAAGGCATTTTATATATAATAGATAGCAGGGTCAGTGAGAAAAGATATAATGAAGAAAAAAAATCAATAGCTACAAAATTTAACAATTTGCAAAATTAGCATTTTAACAAAATTAGGTTTAGCTCTCACCTTACTTTTTTCTTTCTCCAGGTGAAAATTAACATTTTAACAAAATTAGCATCAATCACAAGACACTCCATCACATGACCTATATTGATCCCGTTGACTATGTCATTTTATAATTTAATTACAGTAATGACCTGGGATTAAAGGATCATGGGCTCATTGGATTCCTCTCATCAAAATGCTCAATTTGAATATAAGCATATAAAATTTAAATATTATCTGAACATTCAATTAATATTTTAAAATTTTTTATTTTTATTTTTAGTGCATGAATTAAGCTCATTTGGACTCATATTGAATCACTTATGGTATCATTGGGTTTGTATTGTTAAGATGTTTGGTTTGACACAATATTTATTAAAATGGGAGCTTAGATGATTTTGAATTTGACTCTTTAAGTTATGTCATTCAAAATGTATTAAAATTCATGTCTGATTAAATGAAAATATTGTGATATATCAATATAATATATCAATTATATATTATATTGTTAAATTAAAAACAAAAGCATAAAACTAAGTGTTGCTAAGATTAGAATACTTAGGTCGATGAGTGTCTTGATATTTAGAGACAAAATGTGAAACGAATGTATCCATTCAAGGGTTGGTGTAGCTCCAATGGCAGACAAGTTAGAAAGAATCATTTTAGATGGTTTGGTCATATTAAATATTGACTATTTGATGATCTGGTTATAAAAGTAGATGCTTTAGATTTGACTTATGTTGGGTAAAGGTAGACCTAAAAAGACTTGGGCATGTTGTATAAAAAATAATCTTAATTATTAGAATTAAATGAAAATATGGCACTCAATAGAATACAATAGAGAAAAAAGATTGATTTAGTCGACACCATTTACTGGGATAAAGGCGTATTGTTGTTGTTTTTCTTGTTGTTGTGCACTTTATTATGAAGTCTTTCACTATATTACAACAAATGGTATTAGATTTGTGTGAATTTGACCATCATTTTGTATTAGAATACTGCCCAACTTGATAATCATGTGGATTTCAATTAATCTAAGATTATATGACTCTTGACAAATTTGGGCATAACTAAAAATTGAATCAAATCAAGAAACTCCTCATTCTGATTGTGGATGACTAGCAATAAGCAGTGACCATTTGTTCATCGCATCCCATTTTCCCTTTCGTACACCCACTATTTTGTCTCCATGATCAAAAATCATAGTTCTTATTGTTTTTATGGGACTCTCCACTTAGCGAAGCAACAATGGTGTTGTTTTTTCGAGTAAGAAAGCACCTACTCTATATTTTCATTTTTTTTATTGTATGGACATCAAGTTTCATGACTAAGACATATATTTCCTCTTTATATTTATTGATGTGATAATCCAACATGCATCAAATCTGAAAAGTTTAAAAAGGATGTTGTAAAGTTGTGATGGAGAAAGCTACTTCTTAGAAAGTTATGGTGGGAATTATAAATATATATTTTTTTTCAAAAAATCAAATAATAAATTTCTTACAGCCACCGCACTTTAACAGGTCGGATTAAGAAAAAACAACTTTCTACCACAAAATTTCTAAAAAGTAACAAAAAATAGTTTCCCAACTGAAACTGTGGTGGCGGTATAAAATGCAAAGCATGCATAAAGCTATCCAAAATAGACCCTTTTCAGTGCAAAATAATGTCGATTCCTATATGGAGCCCTTAAGAAGTAAAATCGATTTCCTAATTGATTGTGAAGAAGGAAAAACTATAACGACGTTAAATAGTTTTATCAGGCAAATTATGATCATGAAATGTGTATGTACCAAAATTGTCCACATGAATCGTAATGCGACCAGATGAATAAGGATGATGGCTCAATAATCAAAGCATTGACTTCAAGAAGCTTGATCTGAATTGGTCATATGAAGAGCAACGACCCGATCGAGTCAATCGACCTTTAGTGCAGATGGATTCAGCTAACAGACTTCTTTACAGCTCCAACTAATGAGGCTTCCTAATAGGACAACCGATCGTGATTAGCCGACTGACCTACCTTAGCAGCAACGACCATCACGTAGCTGGTTTCTTCGACCGGTTCGGTTGACCGAGCCAAAGCACGCCGATCCGCCAATCGCTGTCGTACCACATTCCAATTATATTGTAAATATGATATTAATTAACACATTAATTGTATTAAAGACTGTTTTCATAACTGTCCCCCTTTTCATAACTATGTAAGTAGACTCCTATAAAAAGAGAGCCTGATGGTGAATAAAAGGGCTTCTTCCCCTGACTCCCCTCTAAGGAATTCTATCTGCACCGCTCTCTCTCTATCTCTATCTCTCTCTCTCTTGTTCTCCTTCGCTCAGCTCTAACTCTCAGGGCATTCTCTCTCTCTCTCTCTCTTGTTCTCCTTCGCTCATCTCTAACTCTCAGGGCGTGTGTTCGCGAAAGAAAATTTGAGATTCAACACTCTAAGAGGTGGCGCAGTAAGCGTGGACATGCGACAAATTAAAAGAGGAACAAGTTACGATGGAGAATCCTCGCAGAGAGACATTCATCCATTGAATTAAATAGAGATATGGTAAGTCGAGTCATACAAAAGGAGGTTCAGGCATTACAAGCGTAAATAATGGACTAGCTCGAGGTTCTCCGGGTGACCATAGCTCAACAGAACATTCAATCACCGCCCTTGGAGGAAAAGTCTCAGGAAACTCGGCCCCAGAGCACCCCTCGACAATCCGCCAGCACCCAACGGTCGAGCAGGAGGTCGAACAAGCAAAAGGTCGGGGTATTCCCAACTGGAAAACGACGCGGGCATCTACACCAGTAGTCCAACATAGGGTTGACTGAGCGGGAGCGCTTGCTCGACTAGTTGTAGGAAATACTTTCTCCCACAGAATACTGGAAACCTTACCCCCAACAAAGCTAAGAATTCTCGCTTTGATTCTTATAAAGGGAAGAGTAAGGCGGCCGACCATCTAGCTCCTTTCAGGTCATCGATTAGATTTCTGCAGATCGATTAAGCCATGAAGTGTTGGGGTTTTCTGACCATGCTGAAAGAGGTCGTGCTCTGGTGGTTTAACAGCCTGTCGGATGGAATGATCCCATCTATTTTTTAGTTCCAAAAGATCTTCCTAATGCATTTTGCTAATGTGCAAAAGTCAAAGAAGGATACAGAAACTCTAATCTAAATCAAGCAGAGAGAGAATGAAATACAGCGGGCTTACATCATTCACTTCTAGAAAGAAATACTGGAGGTAAGAACTCTATAGCCCCTCAGCACTCAAACTGCCCTGAAGCAGATAATCCGCAACAAGTGATTTAAGCACAACCTAAACATACTCAAACCAAGAACCTTCACAAAGGTCTTGGAGTTGGTTAACAACCACATTACCACAGAGGAAGATCTTATGGACTCCTAGGAAACCAAACCAGAGTCGTCTGACTGTCGGTAGCAGAAAGAAATGACTGAGATGACGGGAAGAGGCTGAAGGGCAATCAAGCCTCAAACAGTTGACTGATAATCCTCGCTCCCGTGATAATACGAGAGGCAATCGAGGTGACAAGGGTCAGTGGTACCATCCTGACCGGCGGACAAGTCAGTACTATGAGAGGCCGCACGTAAACCAAGAAATGTAAGGTTTGACCCTCGTGAATGTGTCAATGGCCGAGCTAATCTAGGCCATTCAAAATAAGTTCTACTTCAAGAAATCTCCTTAGATGAAAACTGCATCAAATTTTCAAAAATTGAACAAATATCGCACCTACCTTCGAGACCATGGGCACGACACAGAGGAGTGTCGTCATCTCAAAAACTTGGTGGAGAAACTAATCACGATCGGAAAGATAAAAGAATTTGTCTTTGTTGGAGCACACACACAACGACAGGGGAAGGGCCTAGCGGAGGAGCCCACGAATGGGCATATTCATGTGAACAAAATTCAACTTGTTGGAATCATTCCAGCTATCTTTGGTGGAGCTGAAGGGTTACCCGATAGTTTAGCTTAAAGAGACACAGATCAGGAGATGTATGTTTTGTCACCTCTTAAACTTGTACTCACACTAATTACTTTCATAGGTGCAGATCCCCCTCAAATAGGAAACCTGTATAATGAGGCAATTGTCATTACAACTCTCACAAACAACTATCAGGTGGGTAGCATCCTAGTCGACATTGAAAGTTCAGTCAATATTTGTTCAAAATAGTGTTTAACAAAACGGGACTCAAAACTAACCAGTTGGTAAAATCTACAGATCCATTGTTTGGCTTCTCTGGCGAGAGAAAAGAAGCCTTGGGCATAGTCCCACTGACCTTGTCATGGGGGGAATGAGAAAAACAGTTCACCAACACAGAGAACTTTGTGGTGGTGGAATCCCCATCTTTGACCAACCACTGCTAAATAGCTACCAAGCAGTGGCATCGATCTACCACGTGGCTGTGAAATTTCCCAAAGAAGGGGAGATAATCACGGTCCGAGGGAACCTAGAACAGTCAAGGAGCTATTACCTTTAGACAGTCACTAGTGTCCACCACAATTCACTCAATATACATACACAAAGGGAAGGGGGTCTCAAGACCAGTAAGTCTTTCCTCCAGAAGCCCACAATTAATGAGAATGAACCCGATTAGATTTTTCTAATAAGTAAAAGCTTTGATGCAAGAAACAGGGACCTATTGATCCAAACTCTCCAAGCACATTGAGATGCCTTCGCTTGAACAGCAGAGGAGA